GGTGCGTCTCCTGTCCCCCACGGTGAAAGAGAGTGAGGCTGAACTGTTGTTGCACACCGAAACACGCTGGGTGGCGGATGTGACAGAACTGAATGAGGAGAGCGTGTTAGAGGTGGGCAGAAACGTTTGAACGGTCTGGCCCAGCCTCGTAAGGTAGGGGAAGCTCTCCTCTTCCTGACACGAGAGTCAGGAGAGACTCGATGGAGCTGAAGCACTGGGTCTGCTTAAGGAGACCGCTTAAGCTCAAGCCGCCTGCGAGGTCGCCGGTGGGGCAACGGGCAGTTGCGGGCTCCCCAGACGTGGGCGGTGGGGGATGAACCAGGTCGCTGCTCCTACTGGCGGTCTCCTTCCTGGGCAAGGTGCACTCTCTGGGCAAGGAGGTGGAGGGGTTAGAGGACTCCCGCGCCCTCCTAGGCATAAACTGCCTGAGGGCAGCTGACTGAGACTTGGCGGCTCTAAATTTTTCAACCACAGAGTTGACTGCCTCCCCAAACAGCCCAGACTGAGAGATGGGGGCGTCAAGGAGAAAAACTTTCTCCTTCTCATGGATCTCTGTGAGATTAAGCCATAGAGCCGAACCAGGCATAGAGCGCCCTATAGCACGCGCGGTGTGCTTGGTGGCTCTCAGGGCCAAGTCTGTGGCTCTGCGGAGCTCCTTGACCGCCTCTTGGGTCAAACCGCCCCCTTCGTTCATCTCCTTAAGGACATCCGCTTGGTAGGCTTGGAGAATGGCCATAGTATGAAGGGCCATGCCTGCCTGACCAGCTGCCATGTAGGACTTCCCGATAAGGGCAGAAATTGTCCTACATGGTTTAGTCGGAAGGAGGGGGCGGGACTTCCAGGAAGGAACGGATCTCTGTGAGATTAAGCCACAGGTGGCGCTCTGTAGCCACTGGGCCCGTCATAGAGCACCCTATAGCACGCACGGTGTGCTTGGTTGCTCTCAAGTCCAAGTCTGTGGCTCTGCGGAGCTCCTTGAACGCCTCTTGAGTCAGACCGCCGCCCTCGTCCTTCTCCTTAAGGACATCCGCCTGGTAGGCTTGGAGAATGGCCATAGTATGAAGGGCCATGCCTGCCTGACCAGCTGCCATGTAGGACTTCCCGATAAGGGCAGAAATTGTCCTACATGGTTTAGTCGGAAGGAGGGGGCGGGACTTCCAGGAAGGAGCAGAAGATGGCGAGAGGTGTGTGGCCAGCATATCCTCGATCGCCGGAATGGCGGTATAGCCCTGCTCCACAGAACCCACTAGATTGGTGAAGTCAGCGGCTGCCGCGTTAGTAAGGTGGGTGGAGAATGGCTGCTTCCAGGATCTGGAGATCTCATGACGCAGATCGCTGAAAAAGGGCAGCTTTCTCCATGCGGGCCTCGAATTTGGGCCACTCAGAAACCGCTCGTCGAGTTTAGACGACTGGAATTCATGGGGCTAGTCGGGCTAATCAATAGAGAGCTTCTCTGAGGCGCGCGCCAGCATGTCTGCAAGCTCTGAGTAGACTGCGGAAGGCCGCGCTTTCTGGCCACTAGGCGGGAGAGCGTTGGCTGAAGCAGGCCCGAAATCCTCTGAGTCGGATGCCGCAGTGAACAAAATGTCCTCTAGCCTGAAGGAAATCACATTGCGCGCCTCCGGGCTAGGGCATAAATAATCATGCGTGAATTCAATATATATATATATATATATATATGTATGTATGTAGATGTATGTATATATATGATGCATCAACATTAATTGCACTGAATCAATCTTACAATGTAATGTTGATTCCAAATCACTTTTGAAACAAGGTAGTTCACCCAAAAATTTTAATTCTGTCATCATTTATTCGCCCTTTAGTTGTTCCACATCTGTATGAGTTTCTTTCTTCTTTTGAGCACAAAAGAAGATATTTTGAAGAATGTGCATACAAATTATTTAATTATTTATAATTATTTTAGTTTAGTTTAGTAAAATAAATTATAAAAAATTACTCCAGCTGCATATCTTTAAAACAAAGCTGTTCTTCTGTATATTGCATAAATTGTATTAACAATAAATTGTATTACCCATTTTATGTAATATAACCTATGTAACTTATATAACCCATGTAACTTAGTATTTTATTTTTGTTTCTGTTTGTTCATTTGTATACTATGTGCTGTTGTCAGTATGTAATAAGAATCTCATGGACAAGTGACTTTTTGTTTAATGCAAAATTTTGAATGTAATAGTATAAGTAACATGTAAAATAAAAATAAAAAAATAATTGTAAACATTTTAAAATTTTAATATTTATAAAAAAATATATATATTTTTATAAAAGTATTTAAAGTATTAAAGTATGCTAAATCTTACATAAATTCTGCCTAATTCTATATAAATCTGTAAATTATCTGTAATAATAATAGTAATATAATAATAATAATTTTTATTATATTATTAAAAAACGTGAGTAACATTTTTTAGATCAGCCTAACTCATTCCCTCTTACATTTTCATTAGTGACTGCTGACAGAAGATCAGCTTCTTTTACTGAAATTTCAGGACACATGAGGGTCTGATGACAGTGGGGTCACAGCAACAATGATTCAGAGCAGCACACACACACTCTGAAACTCTTTCTAGAAATGCCCAGCGTGAACCAGCATGACAGTCACTAATAAGGAAGGGCCCGTATAAACTGTATAAACCAGGCCTGACCCCCCATAAGGCCTCCCCACCCCTGCCATTAACAACTTGTGTGTCGGCTCCTCCAAACAAGCACTCATTAGAAAACTTGCCTCGAGTCTTTTTCCACTTGTATCTTCAAGCTGGATCACATTATTTGAGTGAGCGCCTTTTGCTCCCCAAATGTTCTAGATCTATTTAGATAACAGATAGCAGGATTTAGTTCCCTTTACTGAATGTTTTTAGTCTGTAAATAGCCGCGTGTAAAGTAAATGGAACAACTATTATTACAAGTGGATGCAAAAAGTGTGAAACTAAACAAATTATTTGATGGAGTCAGTGAGCGAGTGGAAAAGTTAATGAGTGAAATTGTTTGTATGTTTGGCTGTGTTTTATGTGTGAGTTTGTGAAGGTGTCAGTTAAGCCGAACTTCTCTTTTAGCTCGCAATCATTTTGGGCTGTTGTAAGTGTTGTTGTAACCAAACAGCATCCGCGTTTATATCATCCCACTAGTAATCATAAACAAATCAATCAATAAATAAATAACTTGCTGTATAGTTTTTCATCTAATATTTATATCTGATTATATTTCAGCTTTATTTCAATTGTTCCACTAAATTGTATTTAATATTGTTCCACTAAAATCATATTTACCATGAATGGATTAATTATTCTAGTAATGCTGAATGAATGAATGAATGAATAAGTTATTGTATTTAATTTTACTGTGAAGTATTTATAGATTGCAGTGTTATATTTTATAGTTATATTATAGTGTTATTTTATGGCTATATTTATAGTAATATAGTGTATTCATCAGTGTTTTGAATTAGCTTTATTTTTATATTTTCAGTTTCCATTTAAATTGTAGTAAATTTTGTAATTTTGTTATTTGGCTTTTGTAATTTTTTATTTATTATTATTATTATTTTTTTAATTTTGTGATTTTTTTTTTATATTACTACTTAGGTTGATTTTTATTTCAGTTTTAGTTTTTATATTTAATTAGTAATTTTAGTGCTGCAACTTAAAAACTTAATTTAGGTAGTTGCCAAGTCAACATTTTTTGTCTAATATATATATATATATAACTAATATATAACTATATAACTATAATAATAACCCTGATTATTTGAATTAATTCTGCCTGATTTATATAAAAAAGGCTCTTGTATTACAGTCATTTTGTAATATTAACTGTATTAATAAGAATCTAATGAAAATTACCAATAAGAATAAAGGAATTAAACAAAAAGTCTTTATAGTATAACTTCTAGATGCATCTAGAATGGAAAAAAGAATGGACCTTAAAGGAGCACTCCACTATTTTTGAAAATAGGCTCATTTTCCAACTCCCCTAGAGGTAAACAGTTGAGTTTCTCATTCCGGCGTAATAATCAAGGAACTTTGCTGCCGTTCCATGGGTGCAGCAGGCGCAATGATATTACGCAGCGCGTAATGTGAGTCAAGTTTTAAATAAGAAAAATATCGAAACTCTCTGGTCATTTTTCAGCGAGATGCTAATGGTCTAATCAGATTCAATTATCTATGCTAAGCTACAGCTAAAAGTGCTACCGCCAGACCCGGAGATCGGCTGAATGGATTCGAAAACGGTAAAACTCAACTGTTTAACTCTAGGGGAGTTGGAAAATGAGCCTATTTTCAAAAATAGTGGAGTGTTCCTTTAAAATAGGCTTTATTTAGCCTACTTCAGGCAAAATATTTCTTATTTTTTTCTTTTGATTTTGGGTTGACCTGAACATTTTGTGAGATTCACCCTCAGTTTTGCTTGTTGTGAACATGAAACACATCACAAGCTGCTCTGCAGGAGGATAACAAAATAGATTTTATTTCACAGGATTAGAGGTTATCCATTTAATATGCTTTTAATGTTTTTTAGAGTATTTTATTTAAATACAATACAAATAAATAATTTATTTATTTCAAAGCAGTCCAAAACAGTTTTCAGAAGATACAAATTTCCCATAGACATCCCCACTCTCTCTTTCTCTGTGCGATGCATGAAGCTTCAGAGCCGCTCCTACAAGATAATCATGTCCATCAGAAAGAAATTAAAGCACATGATCCTATTAAAAGAGAAAACTCTTGCACACATAATCCATAATTTTAGATTATTGGAATGATGTACAATGGAAATAAAAGCCTGCATTCATAAACTTTGCTCTTTTGAGCATGTTTACCATTTATTGTCAACTGGCATGAGGATAATATTTCATCTAGTGCCATGAATCAAAGAGCAAACGCTGAACCATCTCAAAGGAGAGCAGCCGCTACAGAGAGTCGCATGTGTACAGTCTTTCTCGTGATCTCTCTCCGTCCCATCAGCATTATGAATGAAAGTCACACCAGTATGGGTAAGAAGTGTGTAGCGGTGTTCTTCCTGCGGGTTTTTCTCCCGCGCAGAGGCCTTCCATGAGCGCTCAGACCTACAAACATCTGGCGCTTCTTGTTCCTCCACTCGGCGGATGCGTATGTGTTATACCCGTTCTCCTCGATGCGCTCCTTCAGACGGCAGTTTATACCGTAGTTTCTCTAAAATGCATGAAACAAAGAGTTATTACATTTCTGCACACCTAGTCGTGCTGGTGTTTGAAACATAGCAGCCGTTTTCTGCTGGTCTAAGGTGGTCTGTTAGCTCTAACTAGATTTAAGTACACAGACTATCCATCTGATTAATCCTGCTTGGACTGGCTACTGACCATAAATGGTAATCTTGGACCAGGTGGAAACCATTTAAATGGATTCACTTAATTGTTGCTTTGTCACAATGTTAAAAGTAATGCATATATTGTATTGGATGCTAAAATAAGTAAGCTATTAGTTTGTTTTCCCTCTAAAAAATTGTAAACACGATGACTGAATCCCGACTACAGCAACACTGTCTCAACCAATGGCGTGAGTGTTGGGCGGGGCTACGTTTTTGTTTGACCAATGATTAACAGTGCTGCATAAATTACAGGCATTGCCTTTTTTTCAGCAGGTATAGCTAAAAGCTTTTATTTTTTTGATGATTTCTTTGTGGGACACCTAAAATATAAGCTATATATTTATACTGTGAAAAATAACAATAATATAAATATGTGAAAAAAATTATCTTTATATTAAGCGAAATATAAACTACAAAATAATACCAGTACGAAACTGTAGTAATATCAAACTGGTGAACTTTTTCTTTATTTGTTTGTTTTGTCTATTTTTATTTTATTTTTCACCTGCACCCCCTTATTAATTAATTAATTGATAGTTATATTAATGTTTATTTTATTCTATTTTATTTATTTTTATTTTACACCAGCATCCTCTTGTGGTTTTATTTTTATTTTCTTTCTTTTTTTCACCAGCATCACCTAGTGGCCCCCTAGAGATCCCTATAATCCCTGTTGAAAACCTCTGGATTAAATTGCACAGTCATATCTATATTTTTATGGCTTTAAGTTTTTCTATTTTTATGGTTTTAAGGTTTGATGCTGGATACTCACCGCTCCATACAGTTCTCCCTTCTTACTGATAGCCAGGTAAAGGTTACTGCCGATTCCTCTGATGGCAACGATCCCAACATCCACTGATGTGATTTCCAGAATACCTGAAATACACAACATATTAACTGCATGGAAGAATATGCTTTCGTTTAAAACAGAGCAAAGCCTGCTTGAAATTTTTTTTATGTGATTTTGTCATTTGTCATATGTTACTAACTAGGTTCAATTCTAACCATTTTTTTATTAAATTAATTTTAGTTTTAGTTCAGATTTAGCTAACAACAACTCGGAAAACCTTTGCAACCACAGAGCAACACCTTGAAACCATGGCAGTGACTTTTGCATGTGCAAAACCTCAAATTTTCTTTTTTTTAGCAAATCTTTACATTTTTCCGGTTGTGCTTTATAAACTCAACAAGGAGTAACATTTTTGGGGAACAACAGAAATAATGTTTGCGTGTGTGTGTGTTTGTGTGCAGAGGTCAGAGGTGAAATAACAGTTTTGGTTGGCCTTTGCTCACCTGCACATTTTAATTCAGCTCCTAAAACATAGAACACACACACACACTCTCTCTCACATGGGAGCATGTGACGCCTGGCTATCGGAGCCTGATAACCCCAGCGGCTGCGGGTGTGAACCCTGCGGCTGGAGTTGCGGGGGGTTTGCTGCGGCTGCCCTTTGATCAGTGCAAAAGTGTCGAAAGATGCTTCTATCATGACAGCTAAAGTCGCCACTCAAAACAGTTCTGCTGCCCCCCTACGAAGAGGAAGATGCACTGGATGCGTCACAGATCACAGATCTGTGTTTGTATTTCTCTGGAAATCACTCCTGTCCACTGTGGCTGCTTTGTGATTTGATAGAGTCTGTGTGCCAATCGGTTAGGTTAAATGTGTGTGTGCATATCTTTATATGTGATATCAGTGAGCACATCATTATCAGTCAATATTTCTGTTTTTCTTAATTATCTGTATCAGTCTGATAATGGATGCAGATAATTAGCTGCTGTGGAAAACCTCACGTTTTTTCCTGAATAAAACATTTAATATTTATTTATTATAAATTTATGAAAAAAATGATTAATGATTATGAAGATACATAATATTAAATACATTATATTTAAGAGGTCAAGTTTAACTTGCCTGTTTTTCTTTGCATATTATATGTATAATTATTACTTGAAATAAAATATTAAAAACTACTAAAGTAACTGAAATTAAATTTAAATATAGTAAAATTTAAATAATAATAATAAAAACAGCAAAAACACAACTAAATTACTAAAACTAACTAAAAAAATACAGAAAATCTGAAAAATAATAAAAAAAATAACCTATTTAAAACCTTTCATTATATTGAAAATATATAATGTCATATTGCATAACTTAATGATATCGGTTAATGATAATTGGTTGAGCAAATGTTCTCTAATTATCTCTAATATGTCTGAATGTATATATAAAGAGGACTGATTTATGATTATTTTCCCCCAAACATACCTCTTTTTTCAATACCAGGTTTCAAAATTACTAAGCAGTTATCCACATTTTTTACTGTACGTTGTCTGATTTGGCAAACAAAATGGTTTTCGGCCATTACATAAAAAAATATCTACTGTATCAGCCGACATTATGTGTGAATGTGAGGGAGCGAATGTATGCGCAGGTAGTGTGTGCACTCATCTATCCGTGTGCGCGCGCGCGCGTGTGTTTTGTGTGTGTGTGTGTGTGTGTGTGTGTGTGTGCCTGTGTGTGCGTGTGTGAAGTGGCTCCATTGGGGTCTCGGGTTGCAGGTATCAAGTGAGACGGTAAAACTATCTGAGTGTTCTGTGTCCTCTCAGCGCTGGAATGAAAGCATGAAAGGAAGGAACAACACAGACAGGATGACAGTGAGACGGATTAGAGAAGCTTCAATGATCAGTGATCAAAGGACAGCAGACTGGAGCCCACTGCAAAAAAACTCACACACACACACACACGCATCCATTCAGACCCAAACCACCAACATGTTCACGTGAAGCACAAATGCAAGGCTGACGCACACGCATGTCCGACTACCATATGTTTGTACCACACACATACAATACACATTAACCAGAACCAGGTACATCCCAGGTAAAGATGCTCTACTAGTCAAAAGCTGACAGAAATCATGTTAATCTAAAGGAAGATGCTATAAATTGTGAAATTTCTTTACAAAACTACTTTTTTTAAAGATGATTTGGAGCAGAAGAAAAAGCAGCCAGTAAGAGTCCATCTTATCACAATTATAGTTAACTAAAATTAAAACCACAAAAAAAAAAAAACATTTATGTTACTTAAAATACAATAAATGTTATAATTGAAATAAAATTAAATATAAAAAATAAGTAACTTATTTCAGCTAATTGCCAAGGCAACATGACTAATTTTCATTTAATGTACTAAAATAACTAAAACTTTAAATAAAATTTTAATGAACAGAGAAAATATAAAAAAAAAGTCACTTAAAATTATTTTTAAAAACTATAATAGTATCTAAGCTAACATTGATTTACCCTGAAAACATTGGTGTAGAAATCATTTTCATTCACAAACCGTGTAAATTTTACAAATAATGCAGTAAAATGGCAAGTAACACATTGAATTACACATTTTTTTTTTTTAGGGAGAAAGACTGAAACAGTATTTTCTTATAAAACATACTCTAATAGCCTTTGTTTGACTTACAATTTCGAAAGATATTTTTTATAATGTATATTTCTCCCTCAATAGGGAGGATGCACCCCATAGAGTTGGTTGATGAAGCTTAAATATAACAGTTCTTGCATTTTTGGTCGCTACATAATTCCCACACACATTTATTTGTGTTATTTCATAGTTTTGATGACGTTACTATTATTCTAAAATGACAAAAAATAGTGCTAATTTCTACACTGGGCCTTGCTTTGAAGTTCCATGTCAGTGAGGCCACACTTAACTAACCACAAAAGAGAGCTCGTTAGAACAAGCCAAGCCATTACAGTAAATGTGTTTGTAATCCCACCTCCCAACGCATACAAGCCAAACACCTGCGAGAGCGACCGAAACGGAGAAAAACCTCAGCAGATGTCGAGCAGCGCACCAGGAGGTCAAGTTTAAACTGGGCCTATTTACTGGTTTTTCTTTACATGCTGCCTTGTTTTCCCGAGCACATCATGCTCTGCTGCACGTTACTAAACGCTGCACCGTTGGCTTGCAGTTGTTTGCGCAGACGTGCATTTTCCACAGCCCTCTGCCAAAATCCAGTTTGTTTTTTTTTTTGTGCTGGCATAATGTCTGGTGCCTAAAAAATGCAAAATAAACAGTTGTAGTTTTTGAGTCTGAGGAAAACAGCATTGCGCAAATCATTGCATCATGCCTAGTTGTCACTGATATTGAGTGTTGGTGGAGCTGTGGAGCCATCTGTGGCACACATGGCAGCGATCTTACGCCGTACTGGTGGTCTTCTGTACGTCTGGCTCATGCCTGAAGCGTCCTGACTGCTTCCTGCGACAACTACAAAGAGGATGTTTGAAGACATGATAGTGGACTATAGTTCAGATGCAACAAATAAACCATTCTCTCACAGCTGATATTTAGTCTTTCATTCCGTATAAAGGAATCAAAATATACACAAATAAGCAAAAATAAGTACATCAAAGAAGCCACTGTCCCAGAAAAAGAAAAAGCATGGTATTACCACTGTTTAAAAAACATGATATACATGAGTATATGTTAGGAATTGTACCATTGTACATGTTACAATATATTTTGGGAAAACATGGTACCACTGTGCATGTGTTTTTTTAAACATTTTACATTAGTATATGTTGAAAAACAACAAAAACATGGTATTGCCATGTTTCATGTTTAAAATTAAATTATTTACCTTAGTATGTGTTGGGACAAAAACATGGTATTACCACTGTGCATGTTTTTTTTTAAACGCATGTCCTTAGTATACAGTATGCTGAAGAACAACAAAAATATGGTATTACCATGTTCCATGTTAAAAAATATGATTTACCTTAGTATATGATTGGAAAAAACGACAACAGAAAAACATGGTATTGCCACTGCATGTAAAAAAAAATGTGTATATGTTGGGACAAAACATGGTATTACCACTGTGCATGTTAAAATTGTGATTTACCTTAGTATATATTGGGGAAAACAACAAAAACATGGTATTACCACTGTGCATGTTAAAATTGTGATTTACCTTAGTATATATTGGGGAAAACAACAAAAACATGGTATTACCACTGTATGTGTTAAAAAATGTATATATGTTGGGAAAAATGTGGTATTAACACTGTACATGTTATAAAATATTATTTAACTTAATATAGGTTGGGGAAAAAACATGGCATTACCACTGTGCATGTGTTTTTGAAAATTTTTACCTTAGTATATATTGAAAAACGACAAAAAACATGGTTTTACCATTTTGTCATGTGAAAATTGTTTTACCTTATTATATGTTGGGACAAAAACATGGTATTACTACTGTGCATGTTTTTTTTTAACATTTGACCTTAGTATAGCCTATGTTGAAAAACAACAAAAACATGGTATTACCATGTTTCATGTTAAAAAAGTATGATTTACCTTAGTACATGATGGGAAAAACAACAACAAAAATTTGTTTAAAAAATGTAAAAAAAAAAAAATGGTATTACCACTTTAAAAATGTAAAAAAAAAAAAAGATAAATGTTAAATTACCACGTTACAAAATGTGTATATTTTGGGGGGAAAACATGGTATTACCACTGTTTAAGAAACATGATATACATGAGTATATGTTATGAATTGTACCATTGTACATGTTGTATATGTTGGGAAAAACATGGTATTACCACTGTGCATGTGTTTTTAAACATGTTACATTAGTATATGTTGAAAAACATGGTATTACCATGTTTCATGTTTAAAAAAAAATTATTTACCTTAGTATGTGTTAGGGACAAAAACATGGTATTACCACTGTGCATGTTTTTTTTAAACGGGTGTCCTTAGTATACAGTATGTTGAAGAACAACAAAAATATGGTATTACCATGTTTCATGTTAAAAAATATGATTTACCTTAGTATATGATTGGAAA